GAACGGCTCCCAGCTCATCTACCACAACGTCATCCGCCCCTTCTTCCTCAAGCACCACCAGGCCGTGGACAACATGATGGGTGACATCGGCACCAAGGCCCTGGACGCGGCGTCCTCTGTCACCCGAGAAGGTAGCTCCGGTCCCCCCGTCCCTCCACCCTGCTCCGTATCCAGGTTTTCCCCGCGCAGGGGCGTGGGCAGCTCGTTAATTAGCAGCGGGTGATTATTTCTCGGTGCCCATGGGCAGCCCCGGGGGGCACCGTGCCCTGTCTAACCTCTCTCTCCTCTCTGCGCTGCACGGTCCAGTCCTGCAGACTCTGGCCAAGAGCAGAGCCCGGCTGGCGGCCGGGGTGGCCCCGCAGCCCAGCCTGCCCGTATGTACCGAGCCGCGGCTGCCGGGGACGGGGCCAGGCCGGGTCTCGTGCCCGCCGTGGCACCGCCCGAACCGCTCTGCTCCCGCACAACCGGCCCGTTCTCCCGTGGCGTGGCTAGAGCAGGCGCTTCCCTCCTGCTTCTCCGTAGGCAGACCGCATCCGTGTGTCCATCCGTGTGTCCATCCCTGTGTCCATCCATTGTCCATCCCTGTGTCCACGTGCCCTCAGCGCTGCTGCCGACCTGGGGCTCCCTCCGGAGCCCACCGGGGGCGGGGAGGGCAGGGCTGGCTGTCACCGCCGTGCTCAGCAGGACCGGGACGGTGACGCGGGGCCAGGACACCGGGCACTGCCCCGGGGACGGGCACTAACGCCGTCCGTGTCTCCACAGGCGTCAAAACATCCCTGAACCTGGCAGATTTAGTGCAGAAGGTGAAGTAAGAGAGACATCGGGGCCACTGGTACCGGCACTACAGCCCCGGTACTGGGACCAGTACCGGCACCGCGCTCCCAGTAGTGGTACCGGCGACCCCCGTTCTGCCACCAATATCCCCCCTACCGGCACGACAGACGCCGGTACCGGCACCATGCTCCCGGTACTGGTACCGGCATCCTCCGTTCTGGCACTGAAGTCCCCCACACAGACTCCGGTACCGGCGCCGTGGCCCTGCTAACGGTACCTGCCAGCCCGGGCCGTACCGCCCCGGATCCCGACTTTCTCCTGTCCGAGTCTGTTGTTCCCCCTCCCCCAATAAACGCCGGTGCCCCCCCAGGGCCGCTCCCGTCCCGCGTGTTCCGCGACCCCGCGCGGCGCCTTTAAGAGCGGCTGGGGGCGGAGCCTCTGGGAAAGGGGCGGGGCTGTCTCGATGACGTATCCGGGGCGTGGCGGAAGTGCGGCCGGGATAGAGGGGTCGGTCTGTCGGTCCGTCTGCGGTCCGAGGGGGTCGGTCTGTCCGGTGGGGGGCTCAGGGGGCTCTGTCTGTCTGTCCGGGCGGAGCCTCTGGGAAAGGGGCGGGGCTGTCTCGATGACGTATCCGGGGCGTGGCGGAAGTGCGGCCGGGATAGAGGGGTCGGTCTGTCGGTCCGTCTGCGGTCCGAGGGGGTCGGTCTGTCCGGTGGGGGGCTCAGGGGGCTCTGTCTGTCTGTCCGGGGGCGGAGGGGGCCGGTTT